GAGCGGTAAAATATGTGAACTTATTTTAAATAAATTCCATACATTGGTTATAAAATTTTACTCAAAGATATCGGAGATATTATCCCAAATATCGCGCTAAACTATTTCTACACATATCTTTCTCCAATAATCATATAATCAAAATGACACTATGATCATATATTGACCACGTTAATCATAACGTTAAATCTATAGTGATCACATCAAATCATCATAATCATATCTTATATATCATATTAATCATTTGATGAAACCAATATAAATTTAACGTTATTACTAATATGACCAATGCGTGACTACAGTGTTATTTCGGTGTCATATTTGAAAAAAAGGTACATGCAGAAGTTGAAGCCGCGATATTCTGACAGTAAAATAAAGATACATTAAGAAAGACTAATCATTTTTAAAAACATTAATATTTTAAAATTTTGTTTAGTATATATTTTCTCCGATGATGAATCACTTAAAATTGTTATTAGCTCCAAACACCCTGATCTTTTATAGGGGTGGACGTTTCCTTATTTGATTTGAATTCGGTTTGAGTTTTTCAATTTTATAAAATTATGTACCAATTAATTATTATATTATATTCGATTCGATTTCAGTTTTTTATTAAGATAATTTTAGATCTTTTAAGAAAAATCTATTTTTTGGATTTTTTAAAATTCGGTTTTATTTCGAAAAATTTTATTTTCAAAAAAAATATATATTATTCAAAAATTTTGAATAATTCAATTAAAAAAATATAATTATTTTTTGGTTCGATACCATTCCATGAACAGTATGGAGACGCAACTCTTAATCTTTCGTATCCACATGCATCGTAATTTTCTCTTACTAATTTGTGTTGTAATTGCAGGATTGAGTAAACCTAGAATACACACATATATATGTATATATATATATATATGTATATGTATATGTGTATGTAATTAATTGTTAAAATATTTTATTCAATTCACTATGGGTTTTCCAGCTCAGCAAGTTAAATGGTTAATTAATGGAAATTGAGGGGAATAAGAGGCAAGTCCTCTTCCCCCACGTAGTAAAGGGAATAAAAAGGAGTTGAATCGAAAGAAAAAAAACACCATTAATGGAGAAATCGAATCGATCTGTCTGACTCTGAGCTCCGAGTTGAAACTAACCAAAAGGTTCCTCTCCTCTCCTGCTTTCGCTGCTTACATTTATCTTGTTTCTTCCTCTGGAGAAAACTGCCCTCACATATATATGTATGTATGTATGTATGTATATATATACCTGTATACGAATATACCACTGTCCATGGAACTCTTCATGTTTTTCTTTAAACCCGTTTTCTAGCTTCGTGAATTCGAATTCTTGGGTCGTCTGCCTGATGTGTATGATTTTACGGATACAATGCGTAAGTGCAGATTAATCGGAATGATCATTCGTTTGATAGTTGCTATGACAGAACTAGATCTGGGTTTATCTTCTTTTCCCCCCTCTGATGAAAAATCTTCGGTTCTTTTAAGGATAAGAAGTTGATCTTTGTTTGTCCTGGTGAAACCATAAATAACCTTTGAAGTTCCATATGTTTGTGTATGTATGTGCATCTATCACTTCTTTGAAAGCCTTTTGTCATATTTTGGGCTTAGATCCGTGTTTGAAAATGTCTCTTTCTGACAGTATGGCTAATAAGCTCTGATGTTTGCCTTATGTGTATCTCTTCTCTCTTATGCTGCTGCCTTCCAGCCCTTTAATGGCGACAATAGATTCGTCTGGAGAGGCGGATGTGTGTCGAAGAATATATAAGTTACTGGAGGTTGAGGGTGCTGAGAGAGTTCTATTGGCTGGTAAGGCTGGAATAGGGAAGACATGGGTGGCAAACGAGGTTTGCAAACTTGTCAGGAACGAAGGCTCGTGCTATCTCCAGCTCTGGTTGCATCTGAACAGAAATTTTGACGAAAGATCGCTTTACGAGGACATAGCTGCCCAGTTGTGCTTATTTCATGAATATGAAGAGACTGAGGATGATGACGGGACGAGGCCAGACGAGGAGAAAGAGGACGACAAGAAGGAGGAGTGGGAGAAATTCATGGCTAAGATAAAAAAGGAGCTCATGGAAAAGAAGAATCAGGCGGAAAAGAAGAGTTCTGTGGAAGGAGACAAGAAATCTGCAATGTCTGAAGGAGGGAATGCTGAAGGAGGGAAGAAACTGGCTAAAAGAGGGAAGAATGTAGCTGAAAACAAGAAATCTACAGCAGAGAAGAAAATGGCGGCTGAAGGAGACAATAAATCTTCATCACCTCCTCCTAAGAAATATCTTCTGTTGGTTCTGAATGATGAGGGAAGTGTGACCAAGGAAGAGGAGGTCATGACAGAAATGAAACTTGGAGAGTTTCTCAAAGATTGTGGTCCTATCAAGACACTGATCACAAGAAGAGTAGTAGATGACAGCTCTACAAACAGCCATGGCGAAACTAATCCTGAGACTGAGAATAATTTCGGCGAAATTGATTCTTCTCCTGAGAACAATACAGGCAGAGCTGAGTCTGATACCAAGGATGAGACAAAGGCTTTACTTGATTCCCTTACCGAGGAAAAAATGGAAACTTTACTCGATTCCCTTACCAATGATAACTCGAAGGAGTTGCTTAAGGGAAATTGGGGAATTGATGGCTCCACATTCAAATCTACCATTGTGGAGAAGAGTCTGGGTTTGCCAGCAGCCGTCGTTGTTTTAGCCAAATCCTTAAACTGCATTGCTATAACGCCTGGATACATCGAGAAGGTTTTCAAAGAAGTGGTTCCCTCTGAGTCATCGGATGAAGCTGGTGGTTCTCAAAGTACTATCCATCTGATCAATTATGTTCTTCGTCTCGGGTACGAGTTATTGAAAAGAAATGATGTGTCAGAACCCCGTATCATGTTGGATTGTTTTTGGCATAGTTTGGACTTCTTCAAGCATTGTGGCTGCGTTTATTACCGTGATCTGATCACGCATTGGATTCTCGAAGGCTACTTTGATCCAGTTAGATCCGTCGAGAAAGCCTATCAGGAAGGACACTCTGTCTTGATGGAGTTTATAAACCGTGGTATTCTGAAGATTCAAGGGAACAATGTGGTGGTGCCAGAGGTGGCAATGAGCAATCTAATCGATCTTCGATATCGTGGGTTCTTCGGCACATCACATCTTGGTTTTTCTAGAGTTTATGGGGGAGACACGACAAAAGGGCTTGGAAGAATCACTGTGGTAGACGATATGGTAAAAACAGTGCAAACGAATAAGAAAAGAGAAAAACTTACTACGGTTCTTGTCAGTGGAGATCGTTTACGTCGGGAAACTCCTGGAAAGTTTTTCGAGAACAATGAGATGAATGATCTTGAAATACTTGGCCTTTTCAACCCGACATTGGATTCACTCGTCTGGTCTTTGTCAAAAGAACTTTATAAACTCAGATTTCTCGTGATCAGGGACTATGATCTATTGGAAAAAATTGATGAGCTTAAAGAACTTAAAAGGTTGCAAGTTCTTGAGGTTTCTGGAGCAAGCTCCTTGGAGAATATCCCAGACGACTTCTTTAAGGGAATGTCTCGACTTCAAAGCCTTAATCTTTCCGGACTTCGGATCAAATCCTCACCATCTTCTATCTCTGAATTGATCGAACTCCGCTGTCTTATCCTTAGAGACTGTCCTGAGTTAGAAGATTTGCCAGAAATACACAACTTAACAAAGCTTGAGGTCATTGATCTTCGCGGTGCACGTGAGCTGAAGACTTGTTTTGATAAAGAAAAGGGCGAAGACAAAGACAAAGATAAAGGCGAAGTCGGAGACAAAAGCATAGGCGTAAAGAAAAACAAGAGCAAGAACAAAAACTTTTATCTTCTTACACAACTCGAACTTCTTGACCTCTCAGAGAGCCAAATAGAACGGCTACCGATATTCCAAGACTCTGCTGAGGCGAAGGAGCTTAGTTCGTTGACTCGACTCCTGTTGCGTGGTTGTAGTAATTTGAAAAGATTGCCCAATCTGAAGCCCCTGTCTGGTCTCCAAGTTCTTGATCTTTCTGGCACTACCAGCCTAACTGAAATGCTGGAAGTATGCTTCGAGGACAAAAAAGAACTCAGGATTCTTAATCTGTCAGGCACTAATCTCAGCGAGCTGCCTTCAACCATCTGTGAGCTATCCAATCTCACTCAGTTTCTCCTTAAGGATTGTCCTAACATGGAAGCTCTTCCAAGCATCGAGGAGCTCACATGTCTTGAGGTGTTTGATGTTTCCGGGTCTACTAAACTGGGGAAGATTGAGGGATCGTTTAAACGCATGTCGTATATGCGGGAAATCAATCTATGTGGCACCAAGGTCAAAGCCATACCACAGTTGCCAGAGCATAGCAGCCTCTGCTGCTCAAAATACATTGTTTTGCCAGATTCAAGCCGTAAAAAAGGTGAAAACTGGAGAAAAATAAAGGAGCTCCTACCGAGTGGAATGTTTCAGAGTGCTGGTTCTTCTGATGGAGGTGCCACAACCAGCGAAATCTCGGAACATGAGTCAAGACAGGGAGAGACATTCTCGGAAGAACCTCAATCCTCTGTCTGCCCTGAGAAAGAAGACAAATGCAGAAAACTTGTTTATCACGGCAACCGATATGAATCTCTGCAGGAAAACATTAGAAAATTTGTTCCGAAAAGTCCTCAGAAGATCGAGGAGATCCCTTCTTGTAGTGATTTCTCCGATAAAGACTGGGAGCACATAAGCCAAGCTGCATTTGTGTCTTGTGTGGATAACTTCTCTGCAAGTGTGTCATCTGTCTTCGACACGTTCAACATGACATCAGTGAAGGGATGTTGGGTTAATAAGAGCAAGAAAATGGAATGCCTTTTCACTGGAGAACAACACGTTGAAGCGCTGGAGACTTTGTGGGTGTCAAATCTTCCATTATTGAAGAGTTTATACAATGGAAATCCAGAGGATTGTGGCTTTAAGAATCTAAAGAAACTTAGCATAGATTGTTGCCCGAGTATCGAAACTCTCTTTCTTGCATCTCAGCTGCCTACAAGCCTGGAAGAACTGCATATAAAGTTTTGTGACAAGCTGGAGAAAGTGTTTGGCCATGAAGGTGAAGTGCCGAGTCTGAAAACGCTTCACCTTCTTGAGTTGCCTGTGTTATCGGCCGTTGGAGCTAGATTACCTAACCTGATAACATTCACTAAGCGGGAATGCCCAAAGCTGACCACTGAAGAGGAACTTGATTCGGTAAGTTCTATGTGAGAAAGAAAGAACCAATAATTTCTGCCAAATGGTAGTTCTGTGAGTATAATTTATGCTATATCACTTCATTCAGAACCATGTTTTCATGTATCTGCACTCGTTGATGCGCTTAGACAGTTCAGTTTTTAGGATCATTGACTAACTATTGACATGACAGAACTCATGTTACCTGTTTTGTTACGTGTCTTTCTGATGCTGTAAGAGTTCTTATGCTCTTTCTTGCCTTTCTTTTTCTTTTTCTTCTTGTGCAGATCCAGTATGTTTGAGTGTAGGATTCACTTGCACCAAGTCATTTCTATTTACCGTCTTAACTTTTTAAGAGCTTTGTAAGTCCATCTTAACATTATAAGCTTCATAATTTTTTTTTCAGGACTGGGTAATGGTTTCTCGCGATGAAACCGCACCATGACATATAAGTTACAGAGGCAGTCCAAGCAAGATCAACTTACTACTGCTGCATGGATTGGATCTTTTGGTCTTAATCTTTCATGTACTATTATGTTCTTCTAGTGTCTGAAGATCTAGGTTGGTGATAAACATGTAGAAAGAACTTGATCTTCGTAACCATTTTTCCGTCTTTTGTTGTTGTTTTTGTTGTTGTTGTTGTGAGATTTGCTAAAATAAAATCCCAGACAGGTTTGCTTGTTCATCTGCTTTGGGTCAGTTCAGACTATTTTGTCAAACTAAAGACAATGTTTCGGATGGAATGTATGAACTTGAATGAAACTCCTGGGAAGAAATGGTTGTTTGTGAAGAAGGTACTAATGTTTTTCGCGTTGATGCAGGGAATGAGCAGATGAAAACAACTGACAGGGGCGGTGTTTCGCTTCTTCACTTGCATGTGTTCCTGTCCAAAAATGACGGTAAACTTGTGGTAAGGGACTAGCATTATCCATCATTGTGGTCATGTAACTAAGTTTATCCATATAGACAAGTTTTTAAGGCAAAGAAAAATTTACATGGAGTATATGGTTATCCAGGGTATATATCCAGGGTGTTAAAGAAACACATAGATAGATAATATCTAATGGTTCCACTTTCTCTTCATTTTTTGAAGAGGAATGGATATGGAAGAAGTTCCTTTTATGTATCTAACTGGTGCAGTGACAAAGAAGAAGAAAGTTGAATGAAGACAAGGCGAGACATTTACCTGTCCAACGTCGAATTCAATGAAAGTGTAACTTATCTAAAGATTTCATATTTATAACAAAAGATCATTCCTTTATGGCAGGGAGCTTGAATGCATTGATGGGTAGTGAAAAGAAACTTGAAGAACTGTGTAGAGTAGCAGAAAAAACACAAAGAAGAAGAAGATCATGATGATGATGATGATGATGATGATGATGATGATGATGATGATGATGATGATGCATTATAGTGACCAACAGACCAAACAGACAAGACAAGAAAAGACTGATTCAATGGTTTAACAACCATCACTGTTCCACGACGAGTTTTGCTCGGGCATCTCCTTTATTGATCTGAAACGCATCGCCCAAACCGAAATGAGCCATCAAAAGCCAGACAAAGCTGATGAGTTCACCTCCTCGGCTGAGTTGCTTCGCGTGTTCCTTTGCTTCAACATTGTTGGCCGCGAAAGACAACAGCTCGACCCACACTTTGCTCATCGTCTTCCACTTGTCCCGTCCCAGTTTCCGAAGCTCCTTTACCAGTAATGTCGCTTCGAACAGAACCGACTGGCTTCTGTCTCCTTTGATCTCGACTGGCTCTATGTCCGTGCTGACCGAAAGAATCGTCTCGCTCGCTTCCTTCACGTTCTTGGAATACTCCATGTGCCTGCTCTTGAAGAACTTGTCAGCCTCCGCCTTCGTGTCTCTGAATCTGATCTTCACTATTCCCGACACTTGCGACATTAACTTCGGCTGCATCATCAAGAGATACATCATGTAATCGGACAAGATCTTGCTGAACTCACGGTCTTCCCAGTTCCCTTCCGTGGGTTCGTTTTCTTGGTAAGAGAGCTCGGTCGCTATATGCCATAGAAGCAGAACCTGGTCATAGCTTTTCAGCTTCACGTAGTTCATCAATCTGTCGCCGTCATCTGATTCCGTGACCTCTGGCCGCATTTGGCGCAAGACCCATTCCCCCTTTGCCGAAGATATCTCCTTGGCCTCTGCCGAGGTTTCCGCCACTTCCGACTTGATTTTCAGCTCAAGAAACATGAACTCCCACATGTTTTTCGACAAGGGTTCGCTTGATATAAACCTCATCTCGTCGAGAAGATCCTTGACATCGAAGATGTAACTGACGTAGCTGAAGAGAAGGGTGAAGAAATCGGGGATTCGCGACAAGAACCCGACGTAGAACGGGTAAAGAGTGAAGCGAACTGCTCGGTATTGCCTCGACCAACGAGTGACAGCATGTTTGATAGATCTATGAGCAACTTTTATCCAATGGGCAAGCCTCTGCATCCTTCTGATGGCGAAATCGAAAAGTTCGACTGTGCTTTTCCATAAGAGGTTCAACACTCCGTCGTGACTGTGGATCCTTTCCACGTCTGTTTTCAGACAGTATGCTATGAAATTGAATCCGTAGACTTTTCCCGACCATCTCTTGCCTAGAAACGGCGTCGTGAGAATTTCATGCTCGACGTTTCCATCCTTGAAACATTTACGCTTCTTCCACCTTGGTTTCCTGAGATAGAGGAACACCCCGAGTAAAGGGTCGATAACCGAGTGCTTCGCCTCGGGATCATCCTTGAGCTTACTGACAATGGCGAATGTCCAGTCTGAGAGCAAAAACAGGACCAGTGACACCAGATCCAAAGCAATTCCGACCAAAAACAACGTGTAGGTGATTGTCAAATCGAGCTTTCGAAACTCCTCCCTCTTCTGGGATTTGTAATGGAGATGGAATAAGGAAAAAGCGGCGACGAGAGATCCAGAGGCTATAACCCTAGAGACAGTCCCTTTCCAAGAATGAAGAACAGCGGTTTTGGTGTAGAAAGCATCGTATATGAGACCAAGCTCGACCTCCATGATCCGAAGAGCTTCTTCTGGCGTTAACTTGAAGAAGAAGTCTCTGCTGAGGTCACGCTCGCGGAAGCTGAAGATAAGATTGACGACGAGGCCTTTGAAGGTTTCGAAGAACTTGAAACCGTACTGAACTATCTCGAGATCGGACAAGAATCTGTCGGGTTTGGGAAGCGGTCTCTTGAACTTGTCAGCGTCTTCCGTCTTCACGATCTTGGTCGGAAGCTTCGAGTCTTTCTTCGATTTGAGTTCCTCCATGAGCTTGGCGAAGTTGGGGCCTGGATCAGCTTCTTGATGCATCGAGTCCCTGAACTTGTCCGTACTGGCCGAGTACAAAGCTCTTGTCCTTTCGAGATACTTTATCGTCCCCGTCACGAAGAGAAGCAGAATCGGTAGCCATAGCTGGTTGTACATCGACTGGATCACTGCGTAAGCTCCTGAAATAGAACATATATATATATATATATATATATATGTATTAGATACGTTCATATAAATAAGTAAAGCTCGAGTCTTTTCACTGAAAAATCTCAGAAAGAGATACCTGTGAGGGCCTGAGAGAAGAGACCGAGCAAGTGACGCTGCCAGAGAGCGTTGTCCTCGATGGCCAGAGCGGTGATGGTGTCAGGACCGCCGAGGTGCAGGAGCAAGAATGGGGCCCACAGAGCCATGAGCTTCTTGTCCATTGGAGCCTCACCGGGTTTCGGCTCTTTGCCCTGGTTCTTCGTTATCTGCGCGGTGGCGTAGTTAGCCGTCCAGTCCGCCAATAGGTACGACGTCCACAGGACAGCGGCGAGACGGCGCCTGGACGAGCGTCTCCTCTGTGGGGCCAGCAGAATGAGGATTGTCTGAAGTGTCAGAGACAGTAACACCATTCCTCGTATGTTCCATTTGTCCCATACTTTCTTCACTGGCTCTGGTATCACCTGACCCATATCTCTTCAACCCCTTTGTTTCAGGATCAGACAGTGTCTTTGGATCCGTGTTTTGTCTGAGATTATTATGGGGTTTTTTCTCCATGTTCTTTCCTCATTTTCTACTGTTACCATATATTCTTTTCGTGTTGGTCGCAACCCTTTTTTTCCCCTTTTGCATGGCTTCACGTTCACTTAAAATAATATATAGTTCCTTTTTACAGAATATATTCAGTTCCCCTTTTTTTGTGTGCGTGTTTTGCATTCTCAATTGCGTTTTAAAAAGGTGAAATACCGGTGAGCTTTCCGTCACAGAAATTAGTTGTGGGCACTTCGGTTCGGTTCGAAAATTTAGTTTCGACCTGAAACTGAACCGAACTGAATAACATTTGGTTCTAATTTGATACACTTTTTATAGAATCGAATGAACAGTTACCGAACTGAGCCGTACGAATACCGAACCAAGATTCGAATCTGTCACTAATATATATGTAAATATTATAGTCATATAATGGTATTGTTTCGAACCGAACCGATACTAAAATCGAACCAAACATAACCGTTTAACATTCGGTTCTAGTTTGGTACATTTTTTATAAAACCGAAACTCGAACCGAACCGAAACTCAAAATGCCAACCACTAACAGAAATTATTTAAAAAAAATGGTTCAGTTCGGTTTTATGAGTGGTTGGTCCGGTTTATTTGGGTTTTCCCTCTCCATTTGCCTGAAATGGGCCAGGCCTATTGTTTCAGGCCCTATTATTGGCCCATTATAGAGCAAGTGCATTGATTGATCTTCTCTTCTTCTACTCGGCCTTTTCTCGGGAAACAGAGTTTTGGACGGATGATAATCGGAATCACGCGCCAAAATCCCAAATGGGAAACGGAACGATCGGGGGAAAGCGTGATCCATGGTAGTAATTTTCATTCGTTAATCTTCTGCTCTCTCGTTTTTGCTTGTTTTTTTTTTCCATTTTATTGCGTGAAGATTTGTTAAATTTCGTGTTGTTGAGAAAAGATCTCGGCATGATTTCGGACGTTGGAGAACTATGGTATCGGTGCTTTCGCGTAGGGTTATATGACCTGGGATCTGTGCTCTGTGTTAGATCATGTTTGCGGATGTGTTTGTTTGCCGAGAAAATTAGGGACTGGCTATGGAGGAGAGGAATTTTGAAACTGTACTCTGTGGCTGTTAACCATTGCTAGGTCTGGACTCATGCCACTCAAACGGTTCCTCCAATTAGAGTGATTTTTCACGTTTACTGCAGTGAGGGCTTTTTCTGAAATTGATGTCGGATGTTCTGTTCTGTGGAATCATTTATATATAATAGAGCAGTTATACTCGTTGATTTAACTTTTTGTTTGATTATATCTTTCTCTAGGCTGCATAGATCAACATATTTTGATATATCAACTTTTACAACATTTATTCGATGTCAGATCTTCAGTACATCATGTATGTATGGAGTTGCAATGCAGATTATTCGGACATAAAGAGTATAAACTGATTTCAAAGACAGACAAGAGAGTAATGAAAACACAGACAGATACAGAAAACAAACGTAGGAAGGATCCTGTCTTTCGTTGTAGTCACTTCTTCACGATGAGTTTGGCTCTTGTATCTTCTCTGGTGATCTGAAACTGTTCTCCAATGCCAAACTGAGCCATCAATAGCCATACGAAGCTGATTAGCTCGCCACCTTTGCTCAGTTGAGCTGCATGTTCCTTGGAGTCGCAGTGAGCTGCTGCATAGCAAAGTAACTCTACCCACACTTTACCAATTACCTCCCACATGTTTTCTTCTCGTTTGCTGTGCAGGTGCTGAAGCTCTTTCGCCAGCATACTCGCATCAAAAAGAACGGACTTGCTTCTATCTCCCTTCACGTCCATAGGGTTAACCTCCGTGGCGACCGAGGTAATTACACTGGCCGCATTTGCCACTGAATTCTTGATACCCCTCCTGCGGAACAGTCTTTTAGCCTCTTCACACGTGTCTCTGAATCTTATCTTTGCAATTCCAGCAACTGTGGATGTCAGACTGGGCTGCATGATTAGGAGATACATCATGTAGTCTGACAGTATTTTGCTGAATTCACGGTGACTGTGATTCTCCTTGGTGTGTTCTTTTTCCTGCTCCTGGTAGAAGATCTCAGTGGCAATGTGCCACAGCAGGATGCTCTGATCATAATCCACTTCGGTCACATAGCGCAGCTCCAGTTGCTTCCAGTCATCGTTTTCAGCTCTTTGGTTTTGTATCTCTCTTAGAATCCAATCACCTTTCGCTGAACTTATCATCTTTCCAATTTCCCAGTCATTTCTTGCCGAAAATATCCTCTTGGCAGTTTCTGGATCGTCAGCAAAATGGGATTTGTATTTTACCTGTTCGAATATGAAGACCCACAGTTCCTTGGTGAGGCGATCTCTGGATGTGAACCTAATCTCCTCCACCTGATCTTGGACGCCAAAAAAGTCTATGATGTAGTAAATTAAATGTCCGAATCTAGAAGGAATGGTGAACCAGAAATTAACAAGCGGCTTGACAGGTCTCAGAACTTTACGGATTACCCGATGCTGCTGGGATAAATAGCTGATTAAATGGTCGATCCTACTGTGAAGCTTGTCATTTATCTGTTTCATGGCTGTGAAGCAGAATTTGATTCCTATGATGGTATATTCGAAGGCACGATCTATGAACAAACTTTCAATGACCGACTGAAAGAATGTGTGGATGTAACCCTTGGTGTGATGGATTTCCTCGGGAGTTTTCTTCAGGCAGTATCCGATCAAGTTGTATCCGTATACATACTCGGACCATCTGCGGAATATGAATTTTCGGTCGAGCACGTGGTGTTCGACCTGTTCTACATTCTCTTTATTTTTGTTGAAACAGGGGTAAGGCCTCCAATTCAGCCTCCTGAAACTGAGCAGCCTGTTGAGAAATTCGTCGATCAGGGTGTCTTTCTGGTCCAGCTCCTCCTTCAGCTTACTCAGTCTGGCAAATGTCCAGTCAGATAGACAGAACATGAGAATAGCAATCGAATCGAGAGCTATTCCACCTACGAGCAATGCGTAAGTCAGGCCAATATCAAATCCTTCATAAGCGTCCTTCTTTTTGACCATAAAGATGACGAGGGATGACACAAGGGATCCCAAGGATACAAACCGGAATAGTTCTCCAGCTCCGGTATGCAGAATCTTGGCTTTGGTGAATAGAGCATCATAGATGAAGCTGAGCTCAACCTCTAGAATCCTCAATGCTTCTTCGGGTGTCAGCGAATCGAAGAATTTCTTGCTCTCGTCACGTTGTTGAAAGGAGAAAAAAAGATCAACCACAAGACCCTTGAAGATATTGAAGTACTTATAAGCGTACTGAACGACCTCGAGATGAGTCAGCTCCTTATTTGGCCTCACTGGAACATCAGCTTTCTGGTCTTTGTCAGCCTCCCCCATCTCGACCTTGGTGGGTATTCTCATATCCTTCTTAGCCTCATATTCCTCCATGAGCTTCGCATAATTAGGTCCAGGATTAGGCTCTTGGAGCATCAAATCCTTGAACTTCTCGAGGCTCGCTGAGTACAATGATATTGTCCTCTCGAAATACTTGATCAATCCGCTGACAAGCATGAGTATTGTTGGCAGCAGAAGGGTGTTGGGAGTGGACAGTAAAATCACATAGACAGTGGCAATGGCTTGACAGATAAGGCCGAACAAGTGCCTTAGCCAAAGCTCATTATCCTCCAGCGCAAGCGCCGTGATGGTGTCTGGGCCACCTAGGTGCAAGAGGAGGAACGGTGCCCAGAACGCTAACAGGTCAGTGGTCTTTTTCTTCTTGATGTCGTTTTCTTGGACTGCATCACCTTGGGTGTCAGAGATTTGTCCCACCGCATAGTCGGCTGCCCAATCAGCCAGAAGGTAAGCCGACCAGATGAGAACAAGGAATAACTTCCTTGCCATGCGTTTTCGGCTGGGTGCCAAGAAAATGAGGATCGTCTGGAGGGTAAGGCTGAATATTATGATGCCTCGGATGCCCCATTCTTCAAACAGATCCTTCATTTTTTTAAATTCCTTCTGCATCTCCCTGTCCGCCATCTTGCTTTCTTTGTCGGATCAAGAAACTGAACTGTTTCTCCTGTCTTGTTGGAGCAGAACTGGTAACGGAATTTGTGATGCTGCTGCTGTTGACGTCTGTAGTGCTTTGCCAGTAAATTGTTTTTTTTTTCAGATCTAATTTGCTTATGTGTATTATATTAGGTAACACAATCTATTTTCGGAGTGGAAAAAAGATGGAATCAACCACTTGAAGCTCGTTTATGTATTCTTTATGTGCACTGCAGGAAAGGAATTTCATCGGTTGAAAAAGTGATTCGCATCATAATTTCCTTATAAGGTAAGTTCTTTCTCTTGAATAGTCTCATGATTACGAGTATCATCATGTTGACCTGGATAACCAACTCAAACTCAGCTGAAGCTATTGATTTGTTTATCATTCCTCTGAAATAAGCAACTGTTCACCAGATTACTGAAACAGAACCTGGGCCAACAAATGTTAATCATGAGAATATTTGCAATTAGTATTTGTACTTTGGACACTAACCCTAGTTGTTGGATTTATTTTTTTGGTGGTTTTTGCAATTTAAATGATCAAAGCGTGTGTCGGAAGTCGGAACAAGTGTGTTTTTTTTGCCAGGTAATGGGTATCATGGGTCGACGTCCAGACTCATCTCGGGGTCGGGAGACAAGTATGTTCTTTGCTCACATCGCTGGGTAATATTTTATTCTTCTTTTCTTTTCACAAGTCCTTTTCTTTTGCTTCATTTTTAGTTGAAAAAAGCAGATCCTCCGTACGGATTTCCTTTGTTCCTTTCTTCTATTCTTAGTTATATACTCAGAAAAGAAAATTCGACTTCGTAGATGCCCTGTATACATATATATCTCTGCACGGGTGGGTGGGTGTATCCATATATATATGTGTGTGTGTGTATTTACACACTCATAACAACTCCTAAGAGCAGCTTTTAGTTTGATCCAAGTGAATTCTTTAACATCTTTGCTTTTCCCTTTTTTCTTGACGTGAGTGTGAATCTCTCTGTTTCGCATTTCCTTCGTCTTTTTGTCTTTTTTTGTTTTCCCTCACAAATCCAGTTCTCATTTGCATTTTTTTTGCTCTTAGGCACACAAGAAAACAAACAAAAAAATTGCTTTTTTTTCCTGCCGGCGAAATCATTGCTTATATGGCTCAAGAATTTCAAACACGGTCCATTGACAACAAAGAAGAAGAATTTCAAACATGGTTTGGGGAATGCTACAATACATGGGAGCGCGAAGGATCTGCCGAGGGTTTGCTGGTCTTTAAACCATCTGAGGGCAGCAGGAAGGAGCCAATCCGCAAGGAGACCAACTCTAACCTTCCCAGTCAGAACATCCATGGTTTTAAGAACGAGATCCTGTCCTTGAAGAGCTTCTTGCTGAATCAAAAAGAATCTGAAGAGTTCAAGACCCTTGCGGTCGTTGGCAAATATGGTGTAGGGA